CCTTTCAGATCCATGACGAGAGCGGGTCCCAAAAGGAAGCGATCTTTGTTTTTGAATCTGAAGTTGCGCCTATTCTTTCGTCCTAGTAAGCTGAGGCCTTTAACGCCTAGAATGGGTGGTATCCATTCAAAGGTTGACCAGGTGAATACGTTAGGTGAAGTAAGAAACCTCGTCGCAGCTCCAGATATCTTAACGAGCTCATTTCGAAACGTGGTAGTTCTCAATGTCATGAATGAAATGACCAACTAACATTGTATCCACGGTATAGCGCTTTTGACCTGCTACTTCGCTTTACTTTGTGAAGTTTTGCAGCGAGCCCCTTCCTCTAAGCAATGGTGCCCATACCGAAGAATTGTAGTCGGAGCTCGCGTGACCGCCCTACCTGCAAAGAGGAGCAGCCTTTTAAAGAAATACCGAACGATCGAAAGCGCTGGTACACGTGAAACAGGCTGTAGCAGTGAACGAAATTCTCATTGAAGCTATTACAGATAGTGCTTGTCGTTGGTACGAATTCATGCGTGTACATAGATATGTGGACTTGGTACTAGACAGTGACTAGCATTACAAATGATTAGTGGTGCGGCGTTATTTTCGCTAGTTCTTCTTGATAATTTACTGGTGCAGCGCCTACATGCACACCGTGAATGAAAGCCTCAAGAATGCTCTACCATTCCTCAGCCATAAATGCTGCCTATGAGTTTTTCGGAAAAAAGGGAAATTTGAAAAAAAAAGTATTCCAGGACTTTATTTCTAACCTTATAGTTGAAGCTCTGCTTGCTTGGCAACTGGGAACCGAAAATCGTCGGCACTTTTCAGATCTCGTATGATTCAGCCAAATCATATGTTTGATGAACCTCGCTACGACCTCGGCAACTTCCAGAAGTTCACTGACAAACGCATCCCCAACAAACCAACTACAGCGTTGCTCATCATTATACCATACAATATCTTTCATCACCGTAACCACCAAATCGCGCGCCAACGCCTACTACTTTTATTCATTGCAGTACTTAAATGTTATATGTCAGCTTTTTAAAGCATGTATTGGCCATAAAATGTCAGCTTTTTTGAAGAATGTATTTGCAATAACCCTCATTTTAGCGCTGAACTTCTGCCCACTATTCGGCGCATACACGAAATTTCTCGGGTTGATACCGATTAGCTTCGTCCTGTGTACTACGCTTGTGAAGGTATGTTGATCACAAGCTCGCTTTGTCCAGCAGTGTATGAAGGAGTCGTTATGATACTTGTGTTCCTGTTAAAGCGAGAGATTATAATAAAGTGTGTGTGCAGCGTGCGAATAACATGCAACCATGGAAGCATAGTAAGGTCCGTAAGGAGCGAAATTTGGCGTTTTGGGTCAAAGTCGCCAGTAGCATAAGCGTACGGCTTGCCATTCGCTTTCTACGCTAGCTTCCGGCAACGGCCCTTTGCCCCTTTCCAGCAGTGTTGTCCTTCGCTTATCATTTTGATGAGGTATTCCGCTGTGAGTGCGTGTCCCATGACTTTCCCAAAGCAATTCGTCAATAAAAGCATGGTGTTTCACTGGTGTGCTGGTTGGCCATCGGCCCAACATGTGTTATCTGGTTGCTAGCTCATCCAGAATCGGAGGTCAACGGGCAAAGAAAGGGGTCCCATTTTGCGCGTTCTTGACAAATTGCTTTTTTCAGCCTACACGGGGCATTATTCAGCATCCCCACTTCCATTATGAACCCAACCCAATCTCATCGTAATCTGTCGCTTTGAGGTGCTGCCATGCAATGCTAAGTGAGCGAGCCCTTGGCAGCTACGGAATGTGGAAGCACATGTGCAACATGGGGAAGAGACCAGGCAAAGTTGGAGGGCATTGATGAAAAACGGCTTCGAACTGGCCCTGCTCCCTCCTCTTTTTCGAACTGACGCCTTCTTTACCTCGCACGTGCGCTTCATTTCCTCTCTCAATTTTAGGAAGGATGGGGAAGAGAAGTGTAGGGAATCATGCGAAAGTAGGGACTGTAGAAACCGTGAGGTCCTCAAGATTCTTTGAAGTTCTCCCAGAAAAGCATTGAAAACTGTCCCCTTCAGTAATTCTTCCCTCCTTGAAGAGATGAGACACGACCTCAGCTTGCAGGCTCCACGACGCACCTTTAGTTGTAACGGCATTGAGCAGATGTCACATGTGTTAGTTTTTAAAAGCTGAGGGCAACGTTCCCAGTGTGCTGAGTCGAGCTCAAGCTACAGAACCTTCATTTCAACGTCAAAGTACATAATTTCGCTTTGTGCCAGAGACATGGTCATAGCAGGAGAAGTAGTGAGGTGCAATACTTCCAGATAGTCTGTCTACTGAATTTCGTCTCTCTAGTAACCGCAGCTCTCCTTTTCGGTTCAGTGATATCAGTGAGATTTGACGGCCGAATGGGCTTACAAAAAAAGTTCATCAGCCCCATCACACCTCGATATACCCCCCCCCTGTGCTGCCTTTTGAAAACACAGGCGGAGTGTGTCGCTCAACAAGCCTACTTCGGCGTAGACACGCTTTTCTTATTTAGTTCTTCTGAAAAGTCTTCTACATGTCGTCGAAACGGTAGATGACAGCGAGCCCATCAGAACTTAAAAGGTTCCGATGGAGCCGTCCATTCCATTTTCCTTTTCCATGAAACGGTTTATATAGAGTTTTCGGGTCAATCACCATATTTATCAACAATTTTCATTCAGGCTTAGCCTTTGAGAGCTAACGATAAGTGTCAGAATCATTTTTTCTATCATAAATTCGTTTTCCTTGCAAATTTTGGTTTCCCACAGATAAGAATGCAAAATTCCCAGACGATGGCTTATGTATTATAGGACGGATTTGAAGACTTCAGGCGCTGGCGATACGACAATGAGATCAACTGGAAAACGTGTCATGTATGGGATCGGTACGTTGACTCTTTAGTACAAAGCCTATGCTGCATTTGCATCTCATTGCGGAACGAGTTCAAATCTCTTATATTTCTGAGCTCGTAGGAGAACTTGAGCGCTGGGATGGGCAATCGCTGTCGCTATCTTAGTGTTTAAAAGAGATGCTGCACTACCTCCTGATCACTTTAGGAACTAAAAATTATGCTTCATGAGTCTGAACCGTCGCTTTGCACGTCAGGCTAAGGGGTGAAGACAGAACACTCAAAAGGAAGGTGTACCGAAGGCGGTAGTAAGGCAGTGCAATCAGCTAATTGTCCCGTACGTACTGGCCTCTGAGCGAGAATCACGGAAGCCAGCTACACTCCGTTAAAATGAGGATCTTGAGATGGGCACACGACTGGACCTTATTCGAGAATGTCGGAGCGGTCATGCAGCCTGCTCTGTCCAACTAATGACGCGGGAAGAACGTCTGCGATGGTGTGGGCTCGTGCTAAAGAGCTCAGGAGGATTACCCGAAACGGCGACCTTCAGGCCCCAAAGCGAGTGTCCGCAAGAACTTGGAAGGCGTGATGGCCGTTAATCAGAAAGGACGCCGCGAAACGTGCTACGGCTTCGACAGCGAGATGCGCTTACAGAACAATTGGCGGCGAGTGAGATAAAGAAAGGGCACTCTGCTGCGGCCTTGCTTGGGCTGCGCGAGAAGAAGAAGAAGAACAAGATTGACACGAGGGGTACGAAGTAGAAACGAGAAGAACAATAAGTGGTTAACACGTTGACGACAACGCGCGTTTTGGGTTTTTGCGCCGCGTGGGACCACGGCGATTTTGCAGGCGCCGCCGCCTCACATCAAATCCGTGAATTTTGAGCTTTAAACCCAAAACTCGGATGCAACAAAATGTTTCGAATGATATTCGATGTCAAACTTATCAGAAGGAACAACTGTAAACAATTCGATCGTTTTTCTGGCAATGAGGCCATGTTTCACTTGCTTTTGCTGTAGTGAACCTCAAAATTATTTCTGACACGGTTGCTCCACTAAAAACATGTATCTTTTGCTATATGTGTGGGTCTGTACTTACTTCTACTGCTCTTTTTTATGACCAAGATTACCAAGTTGTCAGAAATATAAAGGAATGAACACAATTGGGAAATTCGTAGGGCTTAGAAAACCTTCGCTAAAAAGGAGCATATTCAACCATTCAATGAACCTCGCCGTGTCTAGTCATATTATGGTGTGGTCTATAGAATAGATGCAAAAAATTAGAAAAGAAGTAGCGCATGCGCGAAAAAAATAAATATTTTGTGTGTGCAGCGCATGCGCTGCACACGGTCCCACACGGTGCTCAAGGTGTGATGCGCATGCGCTGCACAATGTCGTCAACGTGTTAAAATCCGATCTGCAATCATCTAAATCTTCGCCACTGTTCTTGGTGGGTGGATCTCGGTTGCAGGGGATTGTCCAGTCCACATCCTTTTGGCAACACATATTTTTAGGTCCTTTACTGACTATTCACCTGTTGTGTCTTTGAGTGAGTTCATTAGATTTCTTGAAAAGGCGAACGTGAACCAGCCCCAACATAGCCAATTTTTAAAAAGGTACGCATATCTGGTTATACAGGTAGTCGTAGTTGTTGCAGATGCTAATTTAATGCATTTATAACAACTTATCCCGCTGAATCGTTCCTCTGTAAATTACCCTCGATGATGCTGGCAGCATTAAAACCAAATACTGGCTGGAATTTGCTCATTTGTAAGTAATTACCCAGGCTGGGTAACTCCCTGTCATGGTGGCATTCGCTTCGGTTAGCACATTGTGTGCGCTATGATCACCCATGACCAGGAGCCAACCGTTTTTGACGAGGAGGTTGTTTCCACGGTTCTTGGATTGGGGCCGTATTCGGCTTTTCGCCGGCCACCAGCTGTCCTCCACCAGTTGACAAGACGCTAACCGTGGTCTTGGAGTATGTCAAGTGGTGATATGTTCAGCCACAACATTGGTCGTTTGGATCGTATACAGAGGGGAGGGGGATGCCCGAAGGCTAGGTTGTGATCTCTCGAAATTGGTACAACCTGACGGCGCTGAATGTAAAAGTGACCCCTTACTGTTTAGAGATCGTCAGATGTTTCGAAAAATGTACTGGAAGCACATTCTGGTCGGCGATTTTGTTCACATCTCCAACGAGCAAGACATACCTGCCGATGTGCTGTTCTTGAGGTTTGAGAAGTTTTCAAAAGTCGTTTACTAATGTTTTTCAAACCTCGTTTATCACAGCGCCAGCCAAATTGAAGGTTGCGGTAGTCAATATTGTTGGATATAGCAGAACAAACGGAGCGACCAGGATATCTGGATATAACGTATTGGAGCTCACACCCCAAACAAAACTTGCGTCTTCAGATCTTCCGACGAGAATGGCAGCTGCTTTGTGGAAACCTGCAACCTGGATGGTGAGACATGGCGACTTCGTTGAAGCAGCGAATGGTGCCTCGTCACTACTTGCCTTTTTCCCAGGTGATTATCGGAGTCTACATGTGAGCTTGGAAGCACTCACACGGTAGATTCAATAGCCAGCCAGCTCAGATAGTTAGGGATTATATGGTAGTGATCTAAAAAAAAGGTGTAGGCGAAACAGCATCTCTGTGTTGAAGGGGGCTATATAGCGATGTTATCAGGGTCCAAAATTTGCCGGACCCGACTTTCGCTATCCAGCCCACCTCTTGATACGCACTGGTGAGCATGTGCGTCTGTCCCCATACTCTCTCACCGGGGCAATCCGTGGCTTGAATCGCAGTTTCGTAACCGCCTGAAAAATGTTTCATGAGTGTTCCATTTTTTTCGTGCAGAATGAGAGATTTTGCGCAAAACAACTTTTAACATGGTTTGTTAGCTGCTGAACGCCGCTGTTTGCTTTGCGAATATTTCACAAGAGTGCTGGGTACCTTTCCTGCATTCTTTCGAAACAATACCCCTTCACTACGCTGGGAAGCTCACTAAAGTGGGCCTACTAATTGCGACTACATATTGTAGTCCCTAGTTAGTCTCCAGTTGGCCTAAACCTGAATACGTGGAACTTCGCTTTTCGAGCGCATGTCTGATGACGTTTCTTCGAAGACGCGGGTAACGGTTTTGGCACTATTTGCTTAAATTTGATAAGCTTGCAAACCCAACTATGTGGTCTTTTTGGGTTACTGTATTGAAGAATGGAAGACCCAGTGGAAAATTCATTCACCCTCAGCAACTGAAAACCCGGAATTTTTATCACGAAGTTGTCAATGTATAACGGTTGCGTTTTGAAGCAGGACTGCAACTTCATACCGCCTCATTTCACCGGAACTGTGTTCTGTGAGCCTCCTGACCCAGCGATCTACACTATTCGTGCGAAAATCGAGCGCGCGCCAGGTAATGACGCAGTCATGTGCTACATCTCTGTCGATAAGGTTTTCGTCTTTCTTCTGGAAGGTGTTGAATCCGTTTGTTCAGGCTCTTTCGAGCTGATCACCAAAGACAATATGCTGCTTCGGGGAAGTCGACTTCGCAACACCACATTCATCGAAGGAATAGTACTGTATGCAGGTAACCACATGAACAAAACTAGGATTTCGAACATAGTTCATTTAACTGATGTAGTTTGGACTCTGCCCAGTGAGGTTTTAGAACCTCAAGCACGGTTCGCTATACCATAGGATGGTAATCCTCCACAACTTACAAAGGTCAATTACGAGACGCTTCCCTTCCACACGTTACGTTCCTAGTGTAGAACTGGTCGAGATGAATGACGAATTGGAAACGGTTCCATAATTTACGGGAGGGCTAAGCCCTATCAGTGTACCGGACCGCACAAGCAAATTTACCACTTATTAGATTGGTAACTGCCAAATTACTGTAAGCCCCGAGTTTTTCGGCTGTGAGAAAAAATTGTCTCTTGTTGATCTCTTCAATCTCGTCACATGCCGTCCTTGTGTGATATAACAGTCGAGATGAACTTGTGGAACCAGCTAAAGATTTTAACATTTTTTCTGAATAGCGCGAGTAGTTAGCAGATATCACAGGCTCTGGCGCGGGGATTAGTGAAGCTACTGACTCTAGCTGATTGACCGCCTCGAGATCCACACAAAAAGCTCCACCAACTTACCTGAGCGCAATCCAATCAAACTGTTGCTCCCACTCGCATGAATTGGTATAACAGCTGCTTGGAAGTTTGCCTGACAGAGTGCATTTCTGGTGGTACTGGGCGAGAAGCAATTGGAAGGCACCGTTGCCAGTCTTGATTTTTCGTGAAAAGTGTAAGCGAGGTTCACTGCACTCGACCAGGATCTCTTGAAAAAGTGTAGCGTGCTTTTAGGTCACGACACGAAGGTTATGATGAATAATGGACGAGCTCCACATAAAATCTCGGTATAGAATCCTTGACGAATCGGTAAGTTCAGTATACCTAGTCTCACAATCAGCTTGTCGGCTTGAATTGACAGAAATGACATCAGTAGTGAATTCGACGCCGCAAGGAAAGATGTGGCCTCCACTGAATTTTAGAACGCCTAATCAAACCCACTATATCTTCAGGGGCAACACGAAAAGATAACGCAACTCATTATACGAAGTTATGCCGATTGGGCGTGCTGAAGCGAGACATCCTCTTCTAACCTCTTGGCTATCCCTGCTCAGCCAACATTGTCTGACTTGAATGTAAAGCTAGTAAAGAAAACCATAAAAACAAAACCATAACCGATTGACGTGACGCCTCAATGAGGCACTTTTCTTTGAGATGATAGAGCTTTAGCATGTGTTCAAATTCACCCTTTCTTGCGATGTATATGCTTTTTGTGATTATTTCAGTTTTCTTCGTCTTCTTCAATTCTGACCTTCAGATTCATTTTGTTGTGCATGGTAATTCTAACGCTCATGGTCATCGGCAGCGCACTAATGTCTGGGGTCTGGCTGGGCCAACACCCTTCATCAAGAAACGCTAGCAGTGTCACAGCGGTTGGTTTCCTTTCCGGACAGGTGTGGGTCAGTGGATGTGTGTGTGATCTGTTGTCGATCAGGACCCGTACGTCGCCTGGAACTCTCCCAAGCCGGCCATCGATGGTGTCTACAACATCGGCGCTTTTCTTATTTGTTATCAGGTGAATTTGGCTTGTCTGCGCCTCCATTGAGTCCCGGCTTCTTGAGCGAAATCTAGTCCAGGTCTTGAGTTATATGAATAGCACTAGCCGCAACATTCGATTTATATTCCGCAATTGCTCAACCACATTTCAGGTCATCGTACCGATTTCGTTGTATATCACTGTCGAAATAATCAAACTTGCCCAAATTTTCTTCCTCAGCCAGGACATTGAACTGTACGCCCCGGACGTGGTAATGTTTTCTTTCAAACAGTCGACGAACTTTCAGACGTACCACTTAAAACCTTCAAAGTCAAACCTTCGATGGAGAAACTCGTTTATCGTTGAAGAGTTGCACTGCCCCTTGCTTAATTTTGTTTTTGCTTGGTTTCGACCTTTACCTCCTTTTGATCACATATCTTTATGGCTGTTTCCTGCTTCGTGCAGAGGGAAGATTGGCTTACTTGTTTTACTTTGATTTCAATCCCTTTCCGAAAGTTTAAAGGTGGCTATGAGGCTTGATTATATGTTCCAATAAAAGTGGCGCCAGACTTACGTTCTAACGTTAAATCCTATACGTAATATGTGTATTAGTCAAATAGCTCGCCAACGGAAGTTTTCAAAGTTGTTTTGAAATAAAGGCTGAATTATGATGAAAGGGCTGCTCATTAGAAATCAGGTAGAGGTGATCAGTGGTGCGGTGACGAAAAACCCTTGGAAACGGTTCAGAACGGAATGACCTTTTGTCCGTTTGATTTTCAGCCATGGAGAAGAACGGAGCAGCGCGGGCGCCCTGCTAGCCATGTGAGGCGTATTCTCTCCTTATAGGCAGCTGTATGCTTTCGACTTGGTGTATTTCCCTTGTTTCGACCTCCAACGTTACCATGGATCTTGAGCGAGAGTTATCGTAGAAAACATTGCTTCTTGGCTGGAGTTCTTATGTGCCTTAAATATTAATGAAGGCAAGAAAAAGATTTGGTTGCTTTTTAGGACCGTGCAATAGACTGCAGATCGCTGAATATCCCTGAAGAGCTTGGCCAGGTTAGCACTGAGACTGTGTTCTAATCATGTCACTGCCTTTGGATTTTCTATTTAGGTTAGCCATGTGTTATCCGACAAAACAGGGACTCTCACCGAAAATGTCATGATCTTTCGGAAGTGCGCTTTTGATTGTATCGATTATGGTCCGGATAAGCAACTGGTGAGGCTAAATTTGGCCCCTAAATGCTTTGCGAGTTTGTTCCCTTCAACGGCTTTTACTTGCAGAGGGATTGCGATCAATCGGAGCCCACTGTCTCACTTGCCCTTCGTGACAGGGTGAAATCGGACTGGCAAACGAACACACACATGAAGCACTTTTTCCTGAACATGGTACTGAACAACTCTGTGGTGGTCAACACGGTGCCTCACCACGACGCATTGGAGGTGAGTGGTGGAATGACCATATTCTTCAATCATTCACTCAAACCCAGCATTGCCTTCTTTTTCTGTTGCATAATTGGTCGCGTTCAGGTCGGCTTTTTCGAAGGCGGCGTTTACAACATAGGAAATTCGTCATTTTATGACATCACCGCTGAGCAATTTAAAGAAATGGTCGATCAGGTCAAGAGCCACACTGCGCCACCTTCCAGGTAATTTCGAGATGGGACTGTTATCATTAGTCTTCGCTCGGGCACACTTCCTCGACAGAAGGAGTGCATAGGAGCAAAACTCAAGGAGAAAGAGGACGATTAACTGAACATGAAAATATTGTTCAAAAATTCAGTTCATTATAGGGCACATCATCAGTGGTATTCTATAATGAACTAACTTCTCGTAACGGATTGTGTGGGAAAAAAGAGCAAAAATGTCACAGTAATTGCACGTCGGCTGAACATTTTCACAAATAAGCAACCCTTCGAGTATTTTTGAGGCTGTGATAGAGCAAAGAAAACTATCAGGCATTCCACCAAATGAGCTGTTCAGGCCAGTGTTAGCTGAGAACAGGTTTCGTGAAATTCCTGAAGACGATGAAGTGGACTCGATCACTGGAGGTAATCTCTCTACTGGTTCGCAACACAAGCTCAGAACCTCATTGATCGATGTGCTTTCTCTGAAAGTGTCTGAATTTTTCTAGCTTACTTATGCTCAGGTTGCTCGACGCTCGCCTCGCCAACGATACCCGATATGGACGCGACTACCCCAGGGACACCCGACACTCCTGTTTCGAGAGTATCGTCGTTCTCAAACTTCGTGAAGAAAAATCTCATCTCACCCATTACTTCGCTGTGAGAAGTTTCCCTTCCTTATCTGTTCGATGTACTAAGAAACTAATTCTGCACGAATCAAGAGTTAACAAAGGCCGGACTTCACATAATGCAGTAAATGAAATGAAATTTCCCTTTTTACTGAATGTCGGCCATCCCTATGACGGTCTCGCATGCCATTGCACAGACCGAATGTCAAGATGCACCATCACTTAGACTGCCTGAGCGTCGATTTCGATGGTAGCCCTCTTGTTGAGATAATTCCACATTGTTTTTGTTCTGATCTATATATTTTCTTCGTTTCTCATCTGCAAATCGCGAAAATCGCGAAAGGTAAACTGCTATGGCAACTAAATGGGACCGCTAATGAAAAGCGAAGGAAACTCGCCGAGAACACCAGAAAGTAGTGTCCCCTTTTCATAGTTATGCTGGGCACTCCACGAGGAATTGGCCCCTCGACGAGAGATCAAGCGAGAAGAAACGACATACCCGAACAAGCCCACCGTGTGCTTTCCTTGACAAATAAAGCACTTAGCATATATCAGAAAACAAGCTTCCTCTCTTCCCCACAGGTTTTTATTCAATTATTTTTACACTATCTTCTATTTTTCTCGTTTTTTTCGCTATTATCTTCAAGCACAGAAAGTACAGCTGCTAATGCGATACGTTTGTGTGATAAAATGAGGGTGTTGATCGATGGTCCAGTTTTTAGAAGGTTATTCGAGGAACGAAACCTAAACGTTAGAGAATAATTCCCGGAGAAGAATGAGAATTGCTTACGCAACCCGGATTCCCTCTTTTACTCTAAGGCTTAGTTCTGAAACTGACCGTTTCCGTGAATTTGATGCAATGGCAAGCACTGCCTCCTTCTCCTTCCATCCCCCCCCCCCGAAGCCACATTGCGCCAAACGAGTTTTAAAAGGATTCATAACGGTTGAAAACATCAGTTAGCAACAAACACACATAATGGTCCTCATGGTCCGTGCTCCTGAATATTTTTCTGAACTGTTCACTTTTCAAAAGTGAGTGCTGTTGTACTACCGCTTATCATATTATTCTGTTAGGATCACGACAGACTCGATTCGAAAACGCCACGAAACGATAAGTGTGAACGATTTTTGCCCATACGAAGCAGAAAGTCCAGATGAACTAGCCATAATTCAAGGTGAGCAATTACGAAATAATCTACCATTTAGTGGAATTCACCAATTGCGTGCGTTGCGCAATCTCAACGGAGGGTCGTATTTGGGTTTTTTTTGGATGGGGGATCGGTTGTATTTGAGGTTGGTGAAAGCCGGAAGGTTGAAAAGGTTGGCGGTCATATTGTGGATCGCGGTCGCGGGAAAGGAGGTCGCCTCCGACATTTTTTGGTGACTATGAGGGAAATTTTATGAAAGAAACTCAGAGAGTTAGACATTTTATAAGACCTACTTGCCATATTGATAGACAAGGATCGGGGAGGGAGGTCGTGCGGGGTATTCCCCTGTGGCTGATGGCGATGGGGGAGAGGGGGGGAGGAGACAGGAGTCAACCACCTACTGCGCAAAGAATAACGAGAGGGTTGTATTCTGGCCAATGGAAGGGGGGGGGGTCGTAACCTCAAGTACCAACCACAAAATTTGAAGGTGGCAAGGCATGGCTAAGTAAGGAAGGAGGACAGACTTTTGGCTACCACTGTGACTGCACACCACAGACGATTGAATGGCGCATCCCAGAGCGGAATTTCTCGCTAAAGCACGTCCACCCAGTGAGCACAGCGAAAAATTCTTTCAGAGAAACTCCCATGCTTTAGACCAAATCAAAGTGGAGGAAAGTGCAGCGAATTCGGCGGATTGACCTCCAGAGTCCTGATAGAAGCCTCTGGCAGGAGATTTCCCTATCAAGATGATCTTCGCGCGTTCTCAGAAATCGGACCACAAACCCGTGAAAAAGGAACAATGGGGCTATATTTTTAAAAAGTGATCTTTGGAAAATATCCGATTTTTTGAAAGCGCTAATCTTCTAGTTTCTAATTAGCCTTAGACATTTGCAAAAAGTTGATTATGAAGAAAGTTATGAATGTTTGAATGATGAAAACTCGCGTGTGCACAAAAAACGGAGCAACGGGACGATTTTTGAAGAATTGCACATTTGCAACGGTTCGCCCTGAGAGGAGGTCGTCAAATTTTGCAACTGGGGCAAGAGACCCTTGATCCTGTGCGTGTGAGGAGTTGTTTGTTCCTCTACAGTGTGCTTTATGTCGGCCACTCCTTAGTGTGGAGGACTTCAGAGAGGACGGTGAATAATTTATGCCTAGCAGT